GGGTCAGGGTTTAGGGTTTACGGCTTAGGGTCTGCTAGATTCAAGTCTACTGCTGCAGTGTAATACACGTAGCCCAAAGAAAACTAAAGGTTAACATGCAAGTCTGAAATCATAGTCAGAATGCACACTGATGACCTTTACTGGCTCCTTACCCCTTATGAGGATAATGGCATATCCTGTTCATACCAAGGAATCGATAAAGGATATTGGAGAATTATGAGCCAAGGTTTTGTGGCGATTGCGGAGCTTGGAATTGAAAGCATATGCTGCTGGGTTTGAGGCTTGGGTCGTTCTCTAAATTCGGGTCCCTTTGGGGGGTTCCCTTTCTTTGATAAGGGTGCCGTACGATTTTGGGTACCACAAAAGGGACCCTAGTTTGGAAAACTAGCCTGATAGGGCTGCGGATTGAAAGGGCTTGAAGTTGGACGGTCCTGCAAAGCTTAGGGGGGGTGGGTGGGTGGTTTAGGGTTTCGTGTTTAGGGTGGTTCAGGACTATAGTCCATAGTGCACGGCGCCATGCTCCCTGAAAGCACCCAATTCAAAACCCGAAATCCTTATGTAGGGGGCCTCAATAACCGGATTTTGGCGGTTCACACGATAATTCTGGGAACCAAAAGCACGTAGGCGTAGTCTTGCTATGTGTACATTAAGTCCAAGAACTCCAAACCGCACACCTTCACAGCCCCAAGCTCAAAAACCTTACCCTGAGTCCGAGTTCGGAACCCTGAACCCAAAACCCTAAAAACCCTATATATAAACCCTATAAGCCCTAAACCATCAACCCAGAATCCCTGCGGCCTTAAGAATGAACCCTGAGTCATCAGCCCGGAGCGCCAGAAATCCGAAATCATAGTCGGGTTTAGGGTTTATAGGGTTTATAGGGTTTATAGGGTTTAGGGTTTAGGGTTTAGGGTTTCAGGGTTTAGGGCTTATAGGGTTTAAGGGTTTAGGGGTTAGGGGTTAGGGCTTTATAGGGTTTATAGGGGTTTCGGGTTTCCTCAGCTCTAAACTCATCGAGCCCCGGCCCCTAAACCCTACCTTCAATTGCCACAACCGACCTTTTCTGCAGGCTTGTGGTATGAAGCCCTTTAGGGTTTAGGGTTTAGGGCGAATATAAAGAAGTTATATAGGGTTTCTACAAATTTGTAGGGACTCTACAAAATTGTAGGCTTTGGTAGTTCGACGTACATCCGAAACAGAGACCCTGCAGTTTGCAACCACCACAGACCGGTCCTTGTTCAAGGCTTCGCTATCACCGTTGGCGATCGCCTGTCCAAAGAGGCTTCCGACTCTCACTCACGCCCAAGACAAGCTTACTTCCCCAATAAGCCAGGGAAATGAAAGGTTAAAAAATCAGATTACCACTAAGTTATAAGAACCCCAAAAGTTTAAAGGTTGGGCATTGGAGAACTAAGCAAGCAAGATCCCCTTAATTAAGGAATACATCTTATACTAGAGTAGGACTCCTAATATGATTTAAAGAATTTACTCCATAATTAAGGGATTTGCAGGTCTGGGCGCATAATTCGCCACCAGAACGAATCTAAACCATAAGACCACCCAAACGGCCGACAGCTCTAAAGAATCACCGCTTGAGCTGAGACATTGCTCCTCATATATATATATATATATATATATCACACACACACACCGACGAAGCGAGCCCCCGAATCAGAGAGGTGAGGGCTGCTGTTGATGATATAAATCCTGCATGACCTTAAGGACCCTAAACTATGCGAATTTTGGCATCTTCGTTACTTATTGTGGGCAATGCAGGTTCATAGCATCCATCGTATCAAACCCTTAACCCTAAACTCTGACCCTAAACCCTAAAAGCACTTGAACCGGTGGCTTTGGGGGTAGCACCTCGCTTCCCTAAACTCCACAACAGCCTAATGGTTAGAGCATGCTGGGGTTTGGGTTTAGGGTTTAGGGGTCTCCTTCCCAAGAGTTTTCAATTAGTTTGGGGGTTTAGATGTTAGGGCCTTAGGGTTTAAAACCCTAGACCCTAAACCCTAAAGCCCAAGAGACTTTTTTGAGTCTGAGAGTCGTTGTCCCCATGGTCTCGGAAGCTTCCTTTCTAGCCGTCGCTGGCGAACTCGCAATACTGGTGCCCATGTTACTGGGTTGCTGTTAAAAGGACTGAAGTTTAAGTTACCACAGAGGGGATATATAGTACATCATAGCGCTTCTTTATTATAGTAACTTAGTTTCAGGTCCTTAACAGCAACCCAGATCATGGGTCTTAAGACCACGATGGTTAACGCTTTGGTACTTGAGCAACCAGCTTAATGTAGGGGCCTTAATGATTAGAATAGGGTTTTGGGGCCCATTATACTATAACTGTATTAAGAAACCCCCAAAACAATATAGGTAGTTATTTAGGCCCCTATATTAACGCTTTGGTACTTGAGCAGGCAGACTATATTCGCATACGGATCAATAGAGTCGGGCTTCAGAGAAAAGTGTGTTTGGTCAGGATTCCTACTCAGCTTTACCCTAAACCCTAAACCCCTAAACCCTAAACCCTAAACCCGAAACCCTAAACCCCTAAACCCCCTAAACCCTAAACCCTGAACCCTAAACCTCCCCCAACCCGGAAGCTGCAACTCTAAACCTTCAGCCCGGAATCAAGCCCCAAACCCTTGCTTAGGGGCTGAGTACCCTGGCCCAAAAAAGGTTAACCTTTTGAATTATGCTAGGGTTATATAAGCCCCAAAAGGTTAAAGGTTACCTACTCAGCCCCTAAGAGAATGTAAAGGGCTGACCACGATAGAACCCCACTTGCGGAAACAAGAATTACTCCACAGTGGATGAAGATACCATGATATACATCAAGTAGCCGTATTTATTAAGACTTTCCGATGATTTAATCCGTAGACTCCTGAATTAAGATGTAAGCGGGCCGAACCTGCACGTGTTCCGCCTGGAGCATCACCAGCGAAGGCTTCTGCCGGGCGTTTCGCATGCGCGCGCAGAGCTTGACCTGCGAGGGGTGCTAGCTCACTACTTGGAGGCTCATGGTAATTATAACCCAAATATAACTGGCTTATAACCCACTTACCCAGGTTATAATTGGGTTATAGTTATAGTTATAGTTGTCTTAAAACTACCCTGAACCTCCAAGTAGTCTTACCTCCCCCTTGGTAAATCCTAAACCCTCCGGGCTATGCCTAAACAGATTTACCGCAACCTAGCTTTCTTGCTGGCTTCAAATAAGTAAATATGAACCCGGGCAAGAGCCGGATGAGGATCCTATACCTAAACAATAGAACCATAAAGGGTTTAGGGTTTGGGGTT